CTGCTGTTTCTCTCTGTGAACTTGAGCGCGAAACTCTGTGTATACTTGCCTTACAGATAGGAAAACATATCTATAGAGAGCAAAATGTCTACTTTCAAATAAACCAATTTAAATAGAAAACAAATATTCTCAGATTATGTAATCCATATGAAACATGCATACAGGCGCATACTGCGGAGATGACGAGTCAGTTTAGCTGACTTCATCTCTTAAACCGAAAACAGAAAGCAGTAGTGTAACAATAAATTATTAAAACGTTAATGCAGTGTACTTGCTGATTTCCCCAACACATTCATAATTATTATATAAGCCGGTGCGCTGTGGCAAGCCTTTTTTGCGTGCGCTTGAGCGCTTATTAGGCTATGTAGGCAATTAAAGGCTCATTATGATTTGTATGCTGACATCATCCATAGCAACAAGGTAAACCCCGCCCTTACTCTTAGCTTAAGACTTCTGTCTATTCCTTAGTAAAAGTTTGTCTCAGCAGCTTTGTGAATAGGTTTTAAGAGAAAACTCTTAGCTAAAAACTTTTACTGCTATTTAGGAGAACTCTTAGTGGTAAGATAAAATGTTTTGTGAATACGGGCCCAGAAATTATTGTGATTTATTAAGCCCATATTGCCCATCCCTACGCGGTACAGCTGAATCACTCGAGACAGTCTGTGTGGATTTATTTGCTCATCTAACCTACATGCTAAACTGAATAAATGTTTGCGATATATGCGCAAACCCTGCACCAAAATCCAGGACCTGATTAAACATAATTCTATCATACAGAGATTTGTGAAATAGATTTCCACGACTTTTCCAAAACTTTGTGGGTTTATTTATTTTTCCAAAACTATTCCAGGCCTGGAAATTGCCGTTTTATAATTCCATGACTTTGTCAGGTTTTTCATGACTGTACGGACCATGGAAATTGTCATTTCCCACATAAATATCAGTCATTCAAAAGGTTTAGACAAAAAAAAAATTGCAAAGATTGAATTAATTAAAACTCACACTCTCAAAGGTTTTGGGGATATGTATATGGGAAGTTGTCGTCAGTTCCTCAAGAATTGCACTGGCAGCATCTCTGGTCACCTGAGCAGAAACAAACAGCTATCAGTCTCCATCATTACATCTCAGTAAGTTTTCTAATCCTCTCCCCATCCAGACACTAAATAAACACACTCCTCTCACCGTTTGATAGGTGACGTCAGGCTCAGCATAGAATGCACCAACAGGAACACCATCTGGAGTAGTAAAACTGGAACTGACAACGCTGAGCAGATACACCCACGTTTCTGACTAAAAACATAGAGACAGCCATTATAAAAGCAGCCAGACCTTGAAAAGACACTGACAGCACACTCTAGTTGCAAGTGAGTACTAAGCCAACACACATGAAGAGTTAAGAAAAAAAACAAATCACAATGACTTTATGATAGGTAGCGTCTAACTGGTGTTTAATACTGTATCACAATGTTACAGTAGATAGAGTTCCACCCTTGTGGGTAGAGTGTGGTATGTGCTGTTTGCCGCACATTCAGTATGCAAGGGATAAAAGCTAAATACACGAATTGATGTTTCAGTTAACAAACTCAAAATACATGTTGGTGGCCAACAATAAATATAAATAAAATGGTAAGGTAAAAGTATTGAATTCAAATGTGACACAAATGTCAACTGAGCATTTGCACATGAAATAATAAGTTACATAAAATAACATTATATACCATTTTACCTACATCAGCAAAAACAATGTTGTTACAGTCCAGAACCCTCAGTGCAAACTTCAGTACCTCCATCATCTTGAATGAATTTGAACCTTCAATGAAAGTACAGAAACAAATCGCACATTAAGCATTACATTTGAATGCCATCGCCAATTAAAAAAAAAAAAAAAAAAAAATTTTTTTTTCTTGTATCCAGTTTGTTTGTTGTTGTTTTTTTACGTTTGCATGTATTACTATCAGCCATGATTATTCTACTCTGTAAATTAAAAGGCTGTTTATATGCAATATCAGCCAATCACTATGTGCATTGTTAGTAAGTAGAGGTTGACCGATGTATCTGTTTTGCCAATTAATCGGCACCGATAGTTGATCGCTGGAACTATCGACAATTGGCAAAAGATAGTTTTTCCAGGTTGCGTCTGTTGCTGGAGCGGCTGAGAAGCTCTTCTGTCATTAGACAGCACGAGAGCGGCCTCTAGAGGCGGAAATCACTGACAGCACGTAACAAAACAGTATGTACACAGTACACTATAGTGCATGTTTTCAAATCATTACCAAGTAATTAATTTGTTAACTAGATGCTGCATTAGTGGAGAAAGAACATCAGTATGTTTGCTATCAAGGCTGAGAGGACATTGGCAGGACCTCAAATGATTAAAACAATGTGACCAAAATACATGCAAGTCCGACACAAATGCTTAATGTCACGATTGTTAACATCTATTTGCATTATTTTATATCCAGCTGGTCACTTTATTGCATTTGTTAGCCAGCGAAGTTGCAGATTTAAAGCTGTGACGTGAGAAAGCAAACATGTTCATGCAGCCGACAGAAATCCTGCCGCGCAGTTTTACATTAATGTACATTATATTTGTCCCAGAACGTTGTTAATGTACATGACTTCATAGGCTATAAAATTGTGTATTTTTCAGCGGAAAATTTGTGTTTCTGTGGCTCTAATAAAGTCTGTATGCTTCATATAGAGAGCTATAATATACTGTAGATTGCGCTTTTTCTTTCCATTTTGCCGTGTTTTTTTTAACACCGAACTTCAGACTCATCAATGCCGGTTTTTGCCCGTTTGGTGATTAAATAAACTGTTTTAGGGCGCTGCTTGAACTGAACGCGACGGGTCTGGTGTGTGTGATCCCTGATACCTGCGAATTCTCCTAGACGTGGCGCTGCGCTTTTTGCCCGGTGTACGACTGCAATATTTTGTTATTTTGATTAGATAATCAAGTGTTCTAGAATTGAAGCAATTAAAGTGTGAGAGCATACATACAATATCCATATGTATGTAATTTCAATGCTATGGCCTTTGTGTAGATATTTAAAGATGGCCATCTTAGAGTGTGTTAATGTCAACATACTATTTTTACATTTTGAAGTTGCTTCTGTTAACATTAGTTAATGAGCTATGAACTAACTTTAATGAACAATAGAGTATATAATTAATATTTAATTTTAATGTTTGTATTCCTTTACAAAGTATGGTTCAGTACTGATTATTTTAATAGTAAAGCACTATTTTAGTTTTCATTCAGTATTTTAAAAACTATCGGTTGATTAATCGGTATCAGCCAGTGTGGTCCAACCTAGCTATCGGTAAAAACCACTATCGGTCGACCTCTATTAGTAAGCATGTCGATGGGAGGGGAAAATTCTGTGGGTGATTTACTGACAAGTTGCACATTAAAGAACACAGACACAACATCTCATTTCCATAATGACCAGCGCAATCTACCAAGAGCAGCGCAAATTACCGCCTGCTTTAAGACATGCTTTTTTGGGGTGATAAATAATGCCACAAATACCAGTGAATTGACAAGCGCAAATCTTAGTAAATTGTGTTGCGTGAATCATTTAAATACTCTTCTCCCATAAATGTATCGATCAAAAGGGAAACTCCTACAAATGCATATAATAAGGTGAGTCGCAAAAATAACTGTGTCCACACCTTTTCAGTGCTAATTTCACACTGTGTGTCTTTAATAAATCCTGACAGTAGTTTTTTAACGCGAATGAGGGTTTGCGCTGGCACAAGCTCATTGTAAATCTGGCCCTATATTTTAGGAAACAGGTCCTTGCATACTGGCCACAAATCCCTTGTACCAATAAGTTAGAAAACTCCATAACTTCAATAGTTTACTCAAATTAAAGTTTGCTGAGAACATACTCAACTTCAGGACATCCAAAATGTAGATGAGTTTGTTTCTTGATCGCAACAGATTTTGAGAAATTCAAAATTACATCACCAATGGATTTTCTGCAGGTGCTGTCAGAATAAGAGTCCAAACAGCTAATAAAAACATCACAATAATCCACTCCAGTCCATTAATAAACATCTTGAAGTAAAAGGCTGCATGCTTCTAAGAATCAAATCCATCAAGACGTTTTAACTTTAAACCATCACTTTAAGTCCACAATAACACTCCAGTGAAAGAGGCCATCTCCTGTTGTCCTCTCACATCCAACTCCACAGACACATTTGTTTAGAACTGTTTTGGACTGTTTTCGCTTATAAATAATGGGAGAAATTCAAAATTACATCACCAATGGATTTTCTGCAGGTGCTGTCAGAATAAGAGTCCAAACAGCTAATAAAAACATCTCCTGTTGTCCTCTCACATCCAACTCCACAGACACATTTGTTTAGAACTGTTTTGGACTGTTTTCGCTTATAAATAATGCTTGATCTGTGCATATTTCTCTCCTGATTCAGACGAGATAGCTTTAGAGCTGGAAGCTACAGTTTAAAGTTAAAAACATTTAGTTTTACTACAGTTTTACACTTAATATGAGGATCATTGATGGGCTGGACTGATGTGGATTATCGTGATGTTTGTTCCAATGGAAAAAAACTCATCTACATCTTGGATGCCTTGAGGGTGTGTGAATTAACCAAAATTTCATTTTTTTGGTAAACAATTTTTTAAATGCATTTTCACAATTCTACACTCCTTTTCAGGCAATGTATTAATTTAAAAAGCAATGAAGGAAATGGCTTTATTTCAATTTACCTTACACAGGTAGAGGGGAACCAAGTCTTTCATTCTCTGCAGCCTAAATCCCAGACAGACAGAAATACAATGAAAGATTGGACCATAAATATTAATAACAATAATCTGAGTATATAACACAATGTATATTCATGACATGCAGCTGTAACTCACATGGGATTATTGATGCTTTTGACAACTTTGAGATAGCGAGTCAGCTCACGGTACCTAACAAACATGTAGATTATCATTTTTAAGGTTAATTTGAATAATCTAAGGGTAGATTATAATTTTATTAGAGTTGGCAAGGGCTACAGCAATGACACTTACAAAATAACTCAAATAATAATCACTAGTCCACACAGAATCTCCAAACTATTTTCCGTGCTGTTTACAAGGGAAAATCTCTGGAATGGATTTAAATAGGGTATATACTATTATCGGTCATTGTAGTATTTTTTTTAATTATTCCTAGTGAAAAAAAAAAAACTTTTGTTTTAAATATGCACAGAACTTTGTGAATTACCGATATTTGAACTCAACAACTGCTGAGCTTTGGGTATGAAGATTCTTTGCTGGCCTATATGATTTATTACACATATCATTCAAGTAAATGATGAGCAGTTTAATAGTAAACAAAGCATAAAAAGTACACTAAGGAAGAAGCATTACTTGTTTTGCTGTTGAAGTTTATAGACTCTCGCTTGAATCACAACCAGAGGTTCACACAAGACTTGATGCCTTCGACCTTTGCCCTGCCTCTCTCCAGTGATGTTTTGACCTTTCATCACAGCAGAGAGCAAGGGATCATCCCAAGGTAGCACACTCAGACTGCAGCCAAAAATAAATAAATAAATCAAATCAAAAATTGCAGGTCACAACTGAACAATTAGTGTATTAGCAAGCAAATTTTTTTTAAACTAGGAAACAACATAAGGGGAGCCAATGATGATTAGAATTTCCTTTTTGGATGAAATATTCTTCAAGAAGCTTTTCCAAATGCAAGTGATGTTGTGGTGTTACCTTTTTGGCAATGTGCAGTTTGAAGGCAGAGGAAGCTTCTGGTAGAAAGACTCCAGCTGCTTTATAAAAGAGCCAGAAAAATCAAAGCCAACTAAAAGCGTCCACACCTTTGTCATAAATCTGGAAGACAAACACAGTTTAAGAAAACGTAAACTCCAAGTAAACACACAAAATAACTTTTGTTTGTAGCATTACCTCCACAGGAGCATTGACATGGTTTCAGATACAGTGTTAGCAGCATGTATATTTCTGCAAGGGAGATATAACACACTAAGAGCTGTAATTATACATTACATTGTAAAGACGGGTCAGAATGTGCAATAGCGTAAAATACATTACCCAGGAGTCGTGTGGTGGACGAAAAGCTTAATAGCCCCTAGCAGCATCACAACACAAGCCTTTGGATTCTCTTTCTTTGCTTCATTCAAAAACATTTTGATATGTTGACTCACAACAGTGTAACTGCAAAATCAAAAAAGAACAATTTTAGTATAACAAGCACTCAGGTTTTATGCACTGATAACAGAATTTGATAATTATAATTAGTGGTGTTGTTAGGCAAGAATCACTATTATTGATTAGAGGTATGGCAATAATATCATACCACATTTTTTTTATTTTCAGGAAAATCATGATCTTATCCTTATTCTTTTTCATGTTGGTTTTACTATTTTGCAAGTTGTCTGAGCAGTACAGGCAAACTAATTTTAAAAACAAAGCCTTAGGTAACAAAATATACAGAGACGGCAGAAAGCGCATCCGTTTGCTTTCATTATATTACAAAAGCGCAACATTTAGTTATTTTGAGTGCACACAAATAAACTGTCTTTACAGATTCAAAAGATGCATTGCTCTTATCTGTATGAGCAAAAATGACGGAGTATTTTAAAGAGTAAGTGAGCGCACCAGCACCTCCATCTGTCCTGCAGTGCGAGCTACTGTTCAGCTTCCACACAGACACTTGAATAGCGCACTTTTTCTAGGTTAACATTAGATTGAGCACCCATGTAAAGTTGCTACTACTTACATCTTTCAGATGAAAAGCCATATTTGAGGTCGATGAACGATAGGTGAGCGTTTGGATGTCCTGCCAGATGTACTGTATTACCACAAAGACCAGTCGTTAATGACCTGTCCCGTGGACTGCGTGACCTCACCACTTCCTGTGGATTTTATTTTATTTCTTTTCTGCGACTATTAAAATTTTGGTCGTCCAAGCCTCTTCTCGTCGACTAACGGTTAGTCGACTATTAGGGGGCAGCCCTAGTTTATGTGAAACTTGTGTGTTTTTGACAGTATCAGTGCAATCAGACGTGAAAGATAACTTAAGTCTAGTAATCAGGTGCTGTTTGACAGGCTTGTGCATGAAAAGTGCATGTCAGAACAGCACGCAAATTAAATGTTTAACTGGCAAGGCTTTAAACACATTCAAATGATGTGCTTTTGTGACTGCAAAATAAGTGCAGTGTCCCATTAGTGTAACACTACCACTTAGTTAACATTTGATGTGAATATATGTAGCATTGTTCAGCATATTGAGATGGAGGTGCCAGAACTACGACACTACGATATATCTTTAAAAGAAGATTGTGGATACATTTTAATCGTCCAAGATCAAAAATCATGATATCGCACACTCCTAATATTGACCATACTTAGATAAAATCTTGCTACCATAATAACACAATTTAAAACATGTTTATTTCTTATGCAAAATACAATCCTTAAACCAATTTCCTCAATTCCACCCACATAATCTAAAACTGTGACAATATCCAATTTAAGATCCCCCACCCCCACCCCACAATTTGGTTCATTTAATAATTTTACGATAATTTAACTAGCAAAATACAAATAGCAACTTTTGAAAATAATATAAAAGGAGAACCACTCACTCATACTCCAGCATCTTAAAGTGATGTCTATAGCATCCTTTACATCCGATGGTTTGACTCTGTGTATTGCTGTTAATGTTGCGGTGACAGGTGCACCGACAGCTCGCTGAATGGTTGGGACTCTCAAACCCCAACAAAAAAGTTGCATACTTCATTGCCAAACTACCAGCAAATTTCTGCAGTGAAGTTTCTACCAGATAAACACACAAATGAATCAAAGATTTAGGCTGGCAAAGGGACTAGGAGACAATAAATCTGCAGTTTAGTCAAGTGAGAAAACATACCTGCACGTCGTAGGTCTGAATCCATATCCAGTGGGTCAAAGGTGAAGTTCAACTCATGCAGAAATCCCATCAGACTCTTGTCACGGAGGGCTTTCCAGTAGACGCTGTGTTTATGGGCATTACAGTGGCAAATCCCAGGGATGGTCCAGAGCTCGCACTATTAAATACAAACACAAAAGTGGACTTGTTTTTAGCCTGGTATGTATTAAATCAATAAGTATGGCCAAAATAAAACAAACCAAGACTTCACACCATGTGAAGAAACTGTCTTCAGGAAAGATTAGTTCAAGTAAATCTATGTGCATGTTAGGCAAACTTAGCTTGGGGGTGGGGGGAATCAGGGTTATAGGCAACTAACTAAAACCATAAAAAAAACTTTAAAGTTATCTCAATGATACTGAAAGAAAACTGTAGTACATTATTTCAATTGTTATAGTATATTTTTTATTAGACATTAAGATATGAGTGTAGAATAGCCTGGAAACAACAAGAATAAAACCAGTAACCAGTGCATTCAATCAATGCCACTGCATATAGATCATTTTAATTTTACACGAGTTACATAAATTCTTACATACATTTTTATCATGAAAGACACATTTTGCTTTTGACATATGCATAAATCAAGTGTGTAAATCAATATTTTTATTTTATGTACTCTTTAGCTTTATTGATACTCAATATATGATGCTTATGACAGAGGAATTAGTGGAGAAGGACAAAGGTTTCAAGAAGGTCACTGCCCAAATGAGGTCATGCAGTACATGTAAGGGTTAGATTTTTAAGCATGGAGAAGTGAATCACTCAGTCACTCAAATGCAAGGCCTCAGATAACTTATGAGCACAGGCCCCTTCATTTTTTCACACGCTTTGTAGAAGACTTAGATATTTTGTTCTTTTTATCTCTCTTCTGTCTCTCGTTTCAAGTTTAATCAGCAAATTCTGTGTAAATAATGCTTCTTTCTGTAGTCAAGGTCAGTAGTCCTGGTGAGAGTCTAGGGCATGGTTCCTCAAATCTTGCCATGGAAGGCCAACAGGCCCCTTCATTTTTTCACACGCTTTGTAGAAGACTTCGATATTTTGTTCTTTTTATCTCTTCTGTCTCTCGTTTCAAGTTTAATCAGCAAATTCTGTGTAAATAATGCTTCTTTCTGTAGTCAAGGTCAGTAGTCCTGGTGAGAGTCTAGGGCATGGTTCCTCAAATCTTGCCATGGAGGGCCAATGCGCTGCAGAGTTTAGCTCCAACCCTGATCAAACTCGCCTACCTGTGATTTTCTAATGATCCTGAAGACATTGATTAGCAAACTCAGGTGTGTTTGATTAGGGTTAGAGCTAAACTCTGCAGGAAAGTGGATCTCGTGGGCCAGATTTGAGGATCCCTGGTCTAGGGAGTCAGATACAATGTTTTCAATTAAAAATTATTCACATATTTTAGATAAGTCTATTATGAGATGTTGAGAAAGATCAATGTGGATGAAGTTTAACCGGAAAGTGTACATATATAATAAAAGTAGGAGGCCATATGATAATCTGTTCATTGGTTCATCCCATACACTTGTAAAGTCTTAGGTTCAATGATAAATTAATATGAATGATTTTACTTTTAAATATGTTAATACCGTTTTACTTTAGAGCTAATTTTTGTAGCTCTCTGAGGCATGTTTCAGTTGTAAGATACTACCCTGGATTACGAGCCCAGATCAATCTTATTTGATAATCTTACCATTGTGTGGGATGACTTTAATTTTACAAGTGAATTTCCAGTTTCATTTCAGGAGCTCCGTTATATTAAGAATCTATCAGAGTACAAGGTTGCACCAGTCACTTTGTGGTACAATTAAAAATGATATATATCACTAGTTTGCAGTCCGTCACCCTTACAAAGAAAGCAAGAAGATAAACTGCAGAAGTTTAAGCTGCAACTGGCACTGTGTCCGAAATGAAATACTTCCCTACTATAAATAGTATGCAAAAAACAGTACGCCAAAAGAGTAGTATGCCCGAATTCACACTATAAATAAAACAGTAAGCGAAAAGTTTCTTTGTTGATTGTTAAATTAGGTCACAAAACAGCCTAATGGACCCAAAAAATTACTCAATTTTTCTATGCAAAAATTTAATTAGCTTTTTTCCCTTCTGATGTCTCGTAACAACCTGACATTTGCATACAAGTTTTATCCACTAACATAAACCCTAGGTTAGATTTAGGTTAGAAGCTAGTGAACTCACCATGGATGCCAGTTTGTCACAGATATAGCAGAAACACTGATCACAGTGCTTTGCATTATCTTGTAGAGGTCCTGAAACGTCCTGCTCTGCTCGACTAGAACAAGCAAGCACACAAAGGCACGTAAACACTCACAGACACAACACAAGTGTAGCCTCACTGCTTTACTGACCAGAATGCCAGGGTGCAGTCATATCTTGCGTGTGGAAGCACTGTTGCAGTTTGGGAATAAATTAATATGAATGATTTTACTTTTAAATTTCAAATATGTCAATACCGTTTTACTTTAGAGCTAATTTTTGTAGCTCTCTGAGGCATGTTTCAGTTGTAAGATACTACCCTGGATTACGAGCCCAGATCAATCTTATTTGATAATCTTACCATTGTGTGGGATGACTTTAATTTTACAAGTGAATTTCCAGTTTCATTTCAGGAGCTCCGTTATATTAAGAATCTATCAGAGTACAAGGTTGCACCAGTCACTTTGTGGTACAATTAAAAATGATATATCACTAGTTTGCAGTCCGTCACCCTTACAAAGAAAGCAAGAAGATAAACTGCAGAAGTTTAAGCTGCAACTGGCACTGTGTCCGAAATGAAATACTTCCCTACTATAAATAGTATGCAAAAAACAGTACGCCAAAAGAGTAGTATGCCCGAATTCACACTATAAATAAAACAGTAAGCGAAAAGTTTCTTTGTTGATTGTTAAATTAGGTCACAAAACAGCCTAATGGACCCAAAAAATTACTCAATTTTTCTATGCAAAAATTTAATTAGCTTTTTTCCCTTCTGATGTCTCGTAACAACCTGACATTTGCATACAAGTTTTATCCACTAACATAAACCCTAGGTTAGATTTAGGTTAGAAGCTAGTGAACTCACCATGGATGCCAGTTTGTCACAGATATAGCAGAAACACTGATCACAGTGCTTTGCATTATCTTGTAGAGGTCCTGAAACGTCCTGCTCTGCTCGACTAGAACAAGCAAGCACACAAAGGCACGTAAACACTCACAGACACAACACAAGTGTAGCCTCACTGCTTTACTGACCAGAATGCCAGGGTGCAGTCATATCTTGCGTGTGGAAGCACTGTTGCAGTTTGGGAGTATGTGATGGCCAAGTCTTCATCCAACTCTTCAATATGTTTAGATACATCTGAGATCAACAAAGCGAAACAGAGATATGACAGTGCTACTGAAGGATTACTATATTCATTTACCATAGTATTTATGGTACACCATGGTACTGTGATGAACTTTAAAGAGGTAGCCTACTACCATGGTATAAGAAAAAAAAATGTATTACCATAGTGTCTCTCACACACACACACACACACACACACACACACACACACACACACACACACACACACACACGGCATTTCTATCGCATGTAAAAGACAATATGGTATTGTCATATGATACATAAGTTAGTCCAAAAACGTGGTTCTTTTATGGTAACGTACATGTTAATGTGCACCATGGTAACATTTAGTTTTGTTGGTGTCATGTTTAATACAAATATAACGCAGATTACCTGCTTCGTTCCTCTCAATTTCAACGATCAGCACAGAGGAATCGTTGTGGGTCCTCAAAAAGTCACCTTCATCATCATCTTCATCGCTCAAAATGATTATAGGTATGTTGTGCTCCGTCCTACAAAACATGACAGACAATGAGAAGAAACAACCTCTAATACCAAAGTAACTCGGCTGGCATTGTGTACGTTTCATATGAAACCTTTAAAATGTATTTGGTTCGAATTATTTTGTTACTCAGTCAGAAAACTTACATGTTTTACCGAATGAACAGTCGGTGAACGCGCGCGTTCAAAGTTTGGCGCTTCAGCTGGATCACGTGACTCTGACAAAATCGGAAATGTTGTTAGCGTCGATGATTTCCAGCCCAAAAGCTCTCCGAAACCCGCCCACTCCAAGAAAAATCCACCCAAAACGTTCACTGCCAAAAGAATGTGATAGTATTAAATTGCCATATCAAATAACATACATGACAACGAAATAGTGACAAAATAAAATTATAAAAATGAATCAACTTCCCAGAGGAGAACAATACAACAGGAAAACGCATCAAATCATGGCAAATACAGAAAAAGACCCGGAAAAGACTATTAATAGGCGGAGCGTGTGCTGGACACAGGTCAGAATTTAATAGGGGCTTGGGCCAAAAATGGTACCAAATTGAACAACAATTTAACACAATTAAACTAAATATATTACGGCTGTCGCGAATAAAAGTGAAAATATACTGTAATGAAAAGTGTCGATTGCGGCATTGAATTTATATCTGCTCAATTTGCCACATTTTTCTTTATACTCGTTTTTACGGCCTTGAGCATGTTTTTTATTAAATTCACGTTTAATACAAATTCAGTCGTATTCAAAATATTTTATGACATGACACCCATCTGGTTTATGGATTTAATACTGGTTTACGTCGATGTGCGTATAGTTTACACTTTCCTCCTGGAGTTCGTTCGCCCTCCGCCTAAAGGGCAATATGAGGCTGTCAAATATTTCTTAACAGCACAGACCCAGACAGACAGTCATCATCGGAAACACAACATGCATCGTTTTCAGTTTCAACAGCAAAAACAAACCAATTCAAGTGCAGATAAAATTGCCCAGTATACGTGATCAGGATAGGCAACTTTAGTGCAACCAGCAAACTTTTTGGGTTGACAACATAACAGAAAACATATGTCTTTCGTGATAAAAATGCGTTTACCTTCGTGTTGCGCTATAAGGTCAAGACAACAAAGCCGAGATGGCTGCAGAACATTATACAATCTCATCTGCAGCTCTCTGTTTTATACAGTTCATAATGACCTCATTCACAGGTGTCTCCTCCTTTCCTCCTTTTTTGGCTCATCCTCAAACTCTTGAATAATATAACTATTATTATTTATTCATTTATTTATTTTTATTATGAATATATTTATAATATTATACTTCAAGGTGTCTTAAAATAGTTGTAGAAAATCTCTCTATTTAAAAAAAAGAACTCTCAAGTGTTATGGAAATTTCTATATTTTTCTTTATATTCTATTTTCCATATTGTATATTCTCTATTTTCCATATGTTCCATTTGCACAGGAACAGAGGAATGGCTATGACTTGCTATAACTAATCTGAGAAGATGAAGATCAAAGTCGCTCATTGGACAGCCTTTATCAGTATAAAAAACACTGTACTGAATAGCCTTCTGTCTTTCTCACTACAGAGCTTCTGTGTGTTGGACTGACCATTCTTGCAAGAATTAAAAGAGCAAATACAAACCTTTTGACTGTTTTTTCACTCTCTTTAACACATTTAGAATTGTTTTCATGACACAAGTCACTGGACATGTACCAGACATGTAGCTATTGCATGAAGATATAACACTTACTTTTACTCCTTAATCCTATAAAAGCTATTGTAGAAAATCTTCTCTCTTTGTTCAAAAAATCTCTTGAGTCAAGAAGTTCCAGATGCCAAAATCAGACTTTATTGTTAGAGACAACATCTGACTATCACACTTGCATCTCACACTTATATACAGTCAAAAATTAATAATGCTTTAACAAAATATGCTTTAAGGAGTATACTTGTATAATAGCTTCAGGCAGTTAGAGAGACTGCATGTATAAAACCAAAATAACTGTGCTGGGAATATTGGGGAGATTCCAGAAATTAGTGTAGTCAGATGTGGATTAGTTGTCTCGCCCAATAAAGTCTGATTTTGGACTTTATCTGGAACTTCTTGACTAGAGCCCATTTTTTTCAGTCAGCTTCCACTCTAAGTTACACAGTTCATAACCAATGATCTCAGTTACAGATGTTCTTTTTGGCTCATCTTCAAACACTTGCTACAGTTATTTCACTTGCTGCTTTGTAAGGATGGCGGACTGCCAACTAGTCTATTTTTAAAAAACATGTCAAAACATCACATTTATCATTTTTAATTGTACCACAAAGTGATTAAGTGCTAGCTTGTCCTCTCAGTTTCCACAGAACTGCTTAAGTGAAACATGCAGGGTCACAGTGTACAGAGAACAATCTTCTGTCTTGTGAGTGAAGTTCAAGAGGCAGAGACTTTATTGAGCAAAGCAATAAAGTTATTATGACAGACGCTTCTTCTGATCTGTCTCTGATGGTCAGGTCTCAATTTTTTTTGTTACATGACTCTTCAGCAATTGACAAATGGTCATGCAATTTCTTGTAAGTTTCACCACACCTAATGGCCACAATTAAATAACACTTGCACCTGTTTTTATCCTAATTCTGAAATCCCGCCAGGTGGTCTATTTTTTAATCTCAACTTTTAATTCAGTCTTTTCTGGGGACCAAACATCCCCAGGGGACATATATGTTACACATTCTGATGGAAGTTTAATAAATAAACAAACTGCTTTGTTGTAATCATTTGCTGTTTAATGGAAATCACCTGTGGTGATTTCTGTCTTTAACAGTATCTGTAAACACAGATACTGTTAAAGACAGAAATTACCTAGAATTGCAGTCTGTTTAGTGGCCACAGACACATTTGGTTTTGAAGTAATTACTTACACAGTCTTATATCATTCTTTCTAATAACTTCTTCTACAACTGTTTATTGTAATTCAGATAAAATAGTACAACAATAAAATAAAATAGTAGACCTGATGTCTAATGTTTCCTTTCTTTCTTTCAAAGTTAGGAGGCAAATATCCTACAAATTCACAAATTTAGGTAGTATCCGAAATAAAGGTTTGTGTCATTGTATCAATTACTGATTTTGGAATTTTATTTTTTAAGAATGATACTCATACAACACAAAAATAAATACAAACATTTTATATATATATACATATATATATATATATAAAACAAATGTTGCAAGACATATACAAAATATGCCTCAGAAATTAACAGTTAAGCTTAAGAAACTGTGTCACACAAATTTACTAGTACAACATACAGGAATTTGATTTATTCTGAAATTTTATTTTGTGAGGTGACTCCATCTTCTTCCGTTTCTGGTTTTGGGGATCGATATTTTTCCCAGGGGTGTGGTGTTTCCTGGCCAGGCATGAACTCCAGCCATTGTTTGTAAAAACCACGGAAGCCGTCAATCTTGTCCAGGTATGTGTTTTGTGATTTTAACTGAAGAAAGAAAGATAAAAGGCATAATTAATCCATGGTAGTCCATTACAATCCTGCTCATAGCGCAATAACATGAAAAACATTCACAAAGTACATGCATTTGATTTTACTGAACCTAGATTTGCTTTTAAATTAAGTGAATAAATAATAATTAAATTTTTTTTAAATAATTATACTCCTTATAATTTAATAAAAATGTCTTATGTTATTTTCTTAATTCATTATATTTCACTTTTCTTACGTTATTTCTTTTTACCTTACTATTTTTATCTACTATTTATACTTACTGCACAGCCGAAGTAGCTGATCAGGTTTATATTTCACTTTGTATTCTGTACATAACTGTGTATGTGACAAATACAAATCTTAAATCTTACATCTTGCTTGATATGAGATTATCTCATATTTTCAGTTTCTAACCTTGTCATAGGACGGAGGATACTGAGCTGCAAACTCCAGCTGTCTGATGATGACATCATTGGGCGGCACTTGCAGTTCGTGCATGTGTTGAAGAAGTTCATGCAGATAAGCATAGTCCAAACGCTTAGCTGCCTGGCTGATCAGGGCACTGTAAACGTGAGTGTTTGGCACAAGTCCACAAAACTGAAAAAAAAAAAAAGAGAATGAATTGATGTAAAAAAAAAAGCACCTTCAAATATTTAGAAGAAAGTTGGAAATTGATAATTGTAATAAGAGGAAACCTCAAGTATATTAATAGTGAAAATGAATAATAAAAGGATGATATTGGATTTCATACCTCCATTTCAGTAAGCAACTGCATTGCATCTTTTTGTCTACGGCAAGCCAGAGCAATACTACAGAACGTCAGTGCATTTGCAACCAGCCCTTTGTTAACCATAAGGGCTTTTACAGCCTAAAAAGAAAGAAATCAGTTATTTTTTTTTTTTTTACATATTTACATTTATGCATTTGGCAGGCTCTTTTGTAATTGTATTTATTTATTATTTACATTTATGCATTTGGCAGATGCTTTCACCACTTAACTTATATTTCATTCAAGCTATTGGAGTACAAATTTAAGAATCTGTTTAACATCCGCTGATCCCATGTATGTTAACTGAGACAGACAATCACTTTTTCTCTATGATGGCGCCTCTGCTCATTTGCCCATTCTTTGTTGTCATTGTTAGTGATCGCCAATACTTAAAATGATTTTTCTTTATCAGTATGATAATGAAATTGTAGTGTGTGGTGTAGTTATGCTCATTGAATTAGGCCTGATGAAACTCCAGAGAGATTCCCTGGGAATCAAACTGGAACTTTATGAACAGATGATTAAATGCATTTCTAACCTTAGCCCCGTTCAAGTCTCCAGCTTTGGCCACCCTTCTAATCATAATGTTAAAGAATGTCTCATCCAGCGTGACAGCACTCTTTTTGGCCACATTAATCAAACTCTGCACTGATTGGCTGCCGGGTTCCATGACATCAGCCAATAATGTGATGGTTTTGATGTTGGGTTCCAGTCCATCTTTGGCCATTTTCTCCAAAAAACCTTCAAGGTTTCCAATCAGAGCAAGTCTATCCGAAGCACTGTTCACAGGTCCCAAGGCAACCACACCTGAGTGGCAAGTGCTGGGGTCCAGAAGGTTTGGGAGGCGGGAACTTTGTGATTGACATGTCAGAGAGCCACTTGATGATACAGGCAGCATTTGAGTCTCATTTTGAGATGCGTCTGTTTTGCACTGATCTTTTTCCTTTGGATGGCAGAAATCAGTCTCTTTGGCTTGTCCATGGCTCTGTGTGTGCATGTCTACAAACAGCTCACTCTCAAATGCATCCATATCTAAGGGCTGACACGACATCTCCTCTTTGACTTTTGTCCTACGGCTTTTCCTTCCACTTGTGAGTTTTGGGGTCACTTCCTCTGTTCTCTTCAGTAGTAGCGCAGAAGCCAAACCAGGATCACCTATCCCACAATCCCGTGCTACCCGCAGGAGTATGTTGTAATTCTGAGTGTCTGGTTTTATTCCAATCCTAAGCATCTGGTGCCACACCTACAGAATAAATGACAATAAAAGAAGTACTTCACGGTATTGTTCACCCAAAAATTTGTCATCTTTCCCTCACTCTCATGTCATTCCAAACATATAAGAACCATAATGTTAATCTTCTAAACAAAATTAAAGATATTTTCTTGATGAAAGCTGAGAGGTTCCTGTCCCTCCATTGAAAGTCCAGGTAACCCAAATTTAAAAGATCCAAAAAAGTCATAAAGGCATCATTACATGGATTCATATGAAGTAAGTGATTTAAACAGAGTCTCGAGAAGTCTTCTTGAGAACAGATTTACATTTGTTAAACATGGAAACTCAAACATGCATGCAGATTCTTTCATTTTTGGGTTAACAAAGAACTTAAAAACTGTAAGTGAGTAAGATGGTACGTGTGAGTAATATGGATATAAATTTTGGCAACTGAAAATATTTTGGCTGAAAATGAAATAGTGTCTATTTCGATAATAAAATTTCACGAAATACACACTAACACCAGAGAAGAGCTAATTAAATACCAAATTGACAGGTTGAAATGGAATTTGTTTTTATACAGACAAATATTTTCAATTGCTGAAATTTATATCCATATTACTTAGCACATCACCAAAAATGATGTAAGAGTAGCAGTAT